TAAGTTGAAATAAATGATTTTGAATTTGAATTTGAATCTCCGTGTATACGGTACCCGTTTTAGCGGATACGACAAAAAATTATGCTTTGTTCACACACAGGCACCGTATAACGTTCAACCTATCCGTCATTACTGGATACGATGTTCACAAGCAAATTCGTAGTATACCGCCGCTGTTCTACCAGGATGAAACTTGTTTGTCTGGCTGCACCGCCCGCTGGCCCCCTCACCCCCGCACAGTCTCTATCCGGTAAAATTGCACGGAAACATGACGGATACGTATTCCGTTCATCCAGTTCATCGATGACAAAACGGAATGTCATAATTTACCGGACCGTTTTTATATACTGAATACTGTACCATATGTGAAGTCGCGCATACAACTTCATGCTCCATCGATGAAAGAAAAAAGTGCGTGCGTACAAAGTACACATGTCAGAAGTGAAACTTTTTTGGCGAACTAATTTATAAGTCTTGCTTATATTTATACAAATTTAAAACTTTAGATTTCCGAGACTTAGAGGAAGGGAAAAGGAAGATATGTTCCTGCCAAAAGTCTGTCAAATGTCAATCTCAAACCTCAGTGTTGACAGTCACATTATGTTTAGATTTCTAAATTGTAAATGACTAATATTTTGCCAATTGAATTGACTAATTTAATTTCATGCTATTTGATTAATGTTCCAAATTCTTTTCATTTCATTTCAATTCCTATTAGAATTGTTCACAAAAAAAATTGTTAAATATTAAGCTGTATGGTATGATACATTTGCCTTTCCAGTTGGAAAAATATATCAACTTCTACTACTGACATTTGACCAGTACTTAATTTCAATAGTAGTTTGATGTCACTTCCGTTGCATACCTGCGTGACGTTCTGTAAAAAAATTACCCTCATGCGCCTAAAGAAGTTTCACTTCAAAAACGTGTCCGACAAAACGGACCAGCAAAACGGGGACCATGTGTGAACGGGCTCTTAGTAGCACGTGGAATTAAATTTTCGCATTGCTTTGTACATTGCTTATCGGACGTTAAACTGTTTAAAAGTTCGTAAATAGCCTGAAAAGCGTTTTTAGAATTAGCAGTATAAGATTTGAAAACGCCTTTTGATGAACGTGTTCAGGGAAATGTTTGTCGCAGTAATTGTGGCTCGTTTTTTTTCTAATCTTGCGTGAGATTTCTGAAGACTAAGCGAAACATAAATTTTCTTATATTTTTAAATGAAATTATCATTATAGGTAGGCACTTTAAAATATTTGCTATTGGCGAAGTTCACTGATGTTTCGCCGAATCCAGACGTAAGTCTATATATTAATACGTGAAGCAAAAACTTTGTACCACTTTTTTGAAAATTGCGCGGACGAAGGAGTATGAAATTTCCCACGCTTATAGAAAATATAAAGAAGGAGTACAGAAAGGTATTTTTTTAATTATGCATAAAAAATAAACTAAATCAATAAATAAATAAAACATTACACACACTACTATGTATTTGACACACATATATACTCTTTCGTTTATTGTTTAAAGTCTGTGGTCAAATTGAGAATAGATTAATACTGTTTGTCTTTAATATTATTTGTCTATGGTGCAGTCTTGGCGAAATTTGTGATTATAGAAGCTTATTAGTCTTTAACAATAGAACCATAATAATGTTCAAACTTATAATTTCAATTAATTATAGTCGAATTTCGATTACCTACTACGAAACTACTAGTACATATAAAAAGTTAAAATGGCTACCTAAAAACCCATCAGCATATAGTTGATGGCACTACGTCATAAACTTGTCCGCACGTTTAAATAAGCAACATTAAATATTTTAAAGCGCTTATAAAAAGGATGAGCGAACGAATACAAAAAAGGTAAATATCGTACAAAATTTTTTTTTTTTAATTAAATAGGCCTTTTTCACGCTTGTACATATATTTATTGGGTTATATTTAAATTGGTTTCTTGGTTTATTTATTTAGCCTTGAGACTAGAGGTATGTCACGATTCGACCTGCGTTAGATTTGGTATTCATAAAAATGAAACACGTTGCATTTTCTCAAGAAAATGATTAGATTTTCGTTTCACACGTTGATTCGTAAACTAGCAGTTGATTTGTTGATCCGCTGGTAGAGAAAGTTATGAACTAGCGAACAGACTACCGTATTATACTTAGTTCTGCTCGGGTCATGTAATTTAAAATGATAAAAGGTATCATTTATGTATTTTTTCCTACCTAAGTTGATAGCCTTGAGAGGCTATATCAGCCGAAAGAGTAGAGTACCGAAAGAGTAGGTGAGCTAACGGGCCTCAAGCCTGGCGAAGTTGCTAACACTGACCCTAGCAAGAGCAGTGATTCGCAGAATCTACCACTGGATCGGAAACGCGACCCACTGAGAAGATCCGGCGAGAAACTAAGTGGGCTGTTTCTGTGGGTTAGTTTACTCGCCGAGCCCTTCGTCGCAAGCGACTGGTTCGACGAGAACGATGACCGGTGCTTGAGGTACCTAAAAGCAACGTCAGTGGATCGGGAGGATTCAAAATGACTTGTTTTTTTTGTTAATCCATAGTATCTGTGTGCGTAATGTTTAGAAATTTCTATGTGTTTTAATAATAAATATTTTTTCGGGGCAAACACAAAAACATGTGAAATATGAGTATCGACTATAAGACTTAAATTTAAAGTAAAACCTTCTTCGACATCCTTCCGTTATAGGTACTAAAAAAATAATCTTTAATTATCCAGTTCATCGACTTCACTTTTGAAAAATAATAGAGCTTAAAGCTGCAATCGCTTTAAAGCTGTTCGCATCGTTAAAGGCAGCTCATTAACGAAAGATCATCACTTGTCTCATTAGACGCGCTACCAATTAGCGAAGTCCGGCTTCACGCCTTCGCACAAAAAAAGTTAGCAAAAGAAGGTACATAAAAATTCAAAAACAACTTGTAGATTTTTTAGAACTAATTTCCTGGCGACTATTTTGGTGTAAGCGAAAATCGTTTTCAATTTAATTCCAATTCAATAACTAAATAACAATTATAAATATTTGCTTGAAGGTAGGTGAAGGTATTTGAAGCTCATGTGTCATAAAATATCGTTTATAAATCATCAGTAATATTGAGATTATTCTCCAATAATCATCAAAAGTTTTCCCTCAAGAACACATTGATGAGAATTCTGCCTTTTCTCTGTAAGCTGCTGATGCCTTCATTTATTGTGGCTACGAGAATAATCTTTAAGCTATCGTTTAAGAGATTTGAACTGGATCCGTTTTGAGTAAAAATTTTTTTACAATTACCTTCAGTTATCTGGACAATAGTTTTAAACAATAGCGGTTGCTTTTTAGTGTCTCGCGATGGACCTAAATATGATTAATTATGATAATGTGTATTGCAAATAAACGAATATAACAACGTTCTGTTCTGTATACAGTCTCACCTACATAATCGAAATTGTAATAATTGATTGCTACTGTATCTTTTTCTGTCACAAGCCAATCATATGCTCCAATTTGGTATCTGTTGTTTCAATGCGGTCGAAGTGACTATGTTTTTCAGTGTCACATAACATATTAACGTTCGTGTGCTGGTCTGTGTGTTTGTTAATACAAACAATGGCTTCAACTGAAATACTATATAAATACTATATTAAGTATTATATAAGCGAATCGCGTTCCTGTAGTATTACGTGTAGCGTATTTAAAATATTTGTTGTGAACCTTCTGTAAATCTTCATTGTTTGGCATCGCTGAATCGTTGCTCAGCACTCGGACCATGACAAGACGCCATTAAGTATTCGCATTAGCGTTCGCGCACTTTATTTTTAAGCTTTCACTTGACGAGGCACTGTCTCAAGTTTATTGAAAATATTCTGCAGTTCGTCTAGATAGTTGTAGATAGCTTTTGTAGGGAACTGTGTTTTGTCGGATTGTTTTAATTTAAATGTTTGTCGGATATATTCTTTACTTACTTGATATTTAGTGTCATTCTTTTTGAACTTTTATTTATTTATTATAGACTTAAACCTATGACAACTGTATGAGATTCCCGTATTACAGAATTTATCCAGTGTCTAGGGAGATCACAGTATTTCCTAAGTTTGCAACGCGATTTTTTCATAAGCAATGCCTGTTATTATGTTGTACTACTTAATGTTAAGCCTATATTTATTACAAGAAAATAAAAACATATTTGTCCTTCTTTGGTTATCATTGCCTGTGGCATAGTTATAAACTTCAATAGAATATTGAATTGATAATGGATGGAACTAGTTCATTGTATATAAAAAATATTATAGCCGAAGCCAATCGAAGTTTATACCGAAAACGTGAATCGAAATTGGTTCAGGTATTGGTGTGGGAATCAAAAATAGATATATCCATTCAATGCATAAATGCTATGCTACCAATGTACGTATAATTCGATAGTTTCAATACGCATGTCTGTTATTTTACATGTAAAGAGAGAGAGAGAAAGAGAGAGAATACACTTTATTGCACATCAGAACACAATTTACATTTAAAAAATAGTCAAAAAGTAGATACATTTGTACAATAGACGGTCTTATCGCTAAAAGCGATCTCTTCCAGACAACCGTTTAATTTACAGAAATTCTGGAAAATATAAAAATATAGCAGTTATGTTGCGGTGTACTAAAGACAATACATTATCATAGAAAATATATACATATGATAAACATATATATACCGTTTACACATAATATGAAATATATAGCTAACTGATTTATATACCAATATACATACTCACATATAATATATACTAATATACTTACATACACATAATAAATCATGTAAAAGTCAGTGAATAGATAATCAGGTAATTAATATAGAAGGTTTAGGTACATGCATTGCTGACAGGCTAACAATGGTGAAGATATATTCATTATACGATAAAATTTTAAAGAAAGCAATAAAATCGTTCAATCAATCGTTTTCATAGTAGTACTTATCACCTAATTTTAAGGCATATTTTACTATGAGCTGACTTACCTTTCCAACTCCAGTTGTTTCCTTCACTCCGAGCCTCCGTAGCAAGCCGGGAGGAGGTGGTGGTGCCGCGCGATGCAGTGCTGCGCTAAAGCCATTGGAAGAATCTTCATCACGCCTACGTCTTTCTCTATGAGGAGAGCCACCACTGCTGCACTTGGTCGATGATGACCTGTAATGAAAGACAGATGTTATAAATGCGTGTGCACAGTGAAATAAAAGAACACGACTTCTTGGTTAAAGTTAAATGTTTCCTTGATGTTAGCATTGTTGATTAACTATTGTAAGACCAATGCATGTAAACAATTGTTTCAGACGATATTCCAGAAAAATCATGTACAAACTACCCCCACTTTTCTTCTACAAATACGAGTGGCCAGTTGAAATGAAAAATCTATATCCGGAACCGCTTGTTTTCATTCAACTACGTATTAAGTGTAGGTAGGTATCTTTCACAAATTTTTTAACTCAATATTAAGTTTTCACTTACAATATTGCGCACTCGCTAATGTAGAGGTACAAAGAATTATCGATATTAGTAGTGATTAAAGTGTGGTATTCTAGTCTTTTATATATGCCTGCATTTTTAGACGTTCAAGAATTGAGATTGCAAGTATCACTCATTCCAAAAATAAAAATAAAACAGGTCGTCGAATTGTGAATGTCACAGAAGTTTCAGATATATCTGTGTGTAGAATCTCAAACTGGCCAATATTTCAGAATATTTGCGCGTCTGCATGGCTAGTTCCAGCCTCCCGCCTATTTTAGGCGGAAAGAAATCTTGTGTTTCGAAAAGAGTAGACTTAATACGAGCAGTAACATTAAAATAAATGATGCACAGGTCCGTTTTCAATTTGACGACGACGTGAAAAAAAATATCATTTGTTTTCCAGCGGAGTGTTTCCCGAGGAAATGTCTAAACAGTAAGAAATCGAACATGAAATAAATGAGCGGTACGTGACGCCTCCAGTGACCTTTTTACATTTTTCAAAAATTCTCCTCGCATCAATGTTCACGCAACGCATACGGACGTGCAGACGGGCGATGGGAATGAAATTGCGGAGGCCGTTTCTGGTATGAACTTATTTATTAGCAACTAGCTTTTGCCCGCGACTTCATCCACGTGGAATAGTCACTTTGGCGTATACCTACATATAGCGTAAGCATAAGCCGGCCACCAAACCGTTGGTCGGATCAGATAACTGCGCTCACTGGACTCTCTGTTGCGAACGCCCTGAGAGAAGCCTAAAACCGAAGCAAAAGGAAGCTGATGGTACAAAGAGCCACGAAGGGCTTTCAGGGACACGACCTTCAGCAATGAAGTACTCGACTAAGAAGAAGCGTAAGCTCTCAAAAGGTAAAAATATCACGATTTTGAAACATATAGTCTAGCAGTTAACGTGCTTCTAATATCATAAATACAATTTATATACAAATTTTTAGTAGTATTTTAGTAGTAGTATAGTAATAGGTACACCCTACCTATTTCTACTAAATTAAGACGTGCAATCGACTGTCCTCTAAAAAATTGCTCACCTATATCTTTATTCGTCTGGGCTGCGTAGCAGATGAATTAATTGATTGGAATGTGATTATTTCTACGGAGAAAGACTTGAGCAAAGCTTTATTTCAAAATGATTTTATTGAAAATAGATGATAGACATTTGAAAGACATCATGCTCATATTTATGCGTCTAGTTTCAGCTTGAATTAATATGCGTGAAAATAAGTCACTATTAAAACTTTAGTACAATAAATAGCAAGCGTAGTTAGTAAATACGTTTGGGAATCTTATGACAAGAACTATCTGTATTGGCCCGACAAAATGGGCTGTTTAAAAATTTTATTTTAATCAAAATTTTATAGCATTATTTTTTAGCTCGTCTGCACTTCACGTAAAGGGGGTTGCACACGGTCGGGTGATGGATGGCGTTTACGTGTCGACTGACGACACCGCCCGTATTTTATTTTAATGCCATCGGCGTTACTCCCGGCCTCTGGAGAGGCTTAAAATTGAAAATTCTCTCAGTTTAGCTATCGGAAAAAATGACATCTCACATTTACAGAGCGACGTGTGTACCGTACCAAGATGCCTTTATTACGATCACGTTTCCAATTTACGACATCTCATTAACATCTTTTATATTATGGAAATTAAATCGCTGAGATAAAACTTTTGACAAAAATGTGGCATCGAAATATGTATAATAAATACATATTTCTAAGATCTCTGTATGGTTACAACGGCTATACTCCACCCTTCAAACCGAAATGCGTTACTGCTTCACGGCAGAAATAGGCGGGGCGGTGGTACCTACCCGTGCGGACTTACAAGAGGTCCTACCACCAGTAAGATTATATGGTGACAAAGTTATGACGGTCATTTTGAGATGTGAGGTCAAATTTTTTTTTTTTTTTTTTATTGCTTAGATGAGTGGACGAGCTCACAGCCCACCTGGCGTTAAGTGGTTACTGGAGCCCATAGACATCTACAACGTAAATGCGCCACCCACCTTGAGATATAAGTTCTAAGGCCTCAATTATAGTTACAACGGCTGCCCCACCCTTCAAACCGAAACGCATTACTGCTTCACGGCAGAAATAGGCAGGGTGGTGGTAATTGCAGTGGAAGTAATTAAAACTCATACTTGACGGTAGAAATGGCAGTATCCGTTTGTACGGGCTAAAAATAAGTCCTATCAGTCCTATGCTGAGATAATTTTTGCCTTAACTTTTCATTGTAAAACAGACTATTATATTTAAAGTGATAATATATTATTTCTTATTTATATAGATTTACCATTGAAAACGTTAACGACGTGTAGCGTGAGACGGTCGCGTGTCCGACCCCGTGCTTTAAGAGCTATTAACATTCCTCTATGGGACTGTTTAGATATCTAAGCTTTAGTTATGGGGTTTTGATTAGGGTTGAACGGACGATTAAACTGCATTTTAATTAACGGTCAAACTTAATTGTATTCGAATTTGTGTTTATATTAATCCGATTTGGGAAAAAGAGGGATAACCCTGTTAATGGTCGACCGTTTTATAAAAAAAAAAATTGGTTGTCTGTAAAGTCGGTTTACTGACGATAGTTGAACGTGACAATGTCATAAGAAAATACTGATGGAATGGTTTCATTTTTCAATTATCGCAATTATCGTTGCTATAAACAATTGACGCCACATTCACTTTTCACTGAATTTCATACTTGACGAAAACATGTAAATGTATTATTGTAAAGCAGCTGTCCACGCGGATGCATCGCTCACTAAGTAGGAGAGAGTCAGATGGCGAACGCTGCCGAATGCGGAGGCCGATTGTGCCTCTTTGTCGCTCGTTGCGCGCTCTCGCTTGCACTTCAAACCTTAAATGGAACGCATCAGAGCGAGGTAACGCCGCATGAGTCATGTTTTTTCATGCGTGCAGCCGGCTCCATCGAATAATAAGACGTGTCACATCAAAAGGAAAAACTAATTAAAAGAATACATGACATTTATTTTGGCCAACAGGAAATCTAGGCTTAGACACGTTGAGCGCGGTGCTAAAGATGTTTAGGGAATTGGATGTATATGCTTTTGGTAAAGAGCGCATCTCTGTCCACCATCCTAAAGGGCGTCACACACAGCGAAGATATTATAATATTTTATCTTAACATACAATATCGCTCCCTATACATTTTGTATGAACTATCAAATATATATTATGTTAACCATGTATGTGTGACGCCCTTTACTCCGTAAAATTAAGTTTTATTAATGTTTACGGCTTGCGAAACCAGCGAATTTAAAAAAGACCCCCAAAAATTAAATTGTTACTTTGAAAACAAAAGACACTTCTTTAATATTTTAACAAAATTCATTGTTACTAAAATTATCGGTTATACATACTTTTTTTTTGTAAAATTTTACATTTACACCAGATTTAGGAATTTATAAAGAGAGCAATACACTCTCACTTACCAAACAGCAAGCATTAGTAACCCTAACTTTCCGATTACCATTTTCACGAGACCCATAGACATTACAAAAGTCCCTACCGATTTAGGGTCATATGAAATTTGACTTAAAGATAAGGTTGTATTAGGGCAATGACGCATTGCTTTGAGATTGAGAATTGACAGCGCTTGGACCCTTCGTATACGAAGCCGTATGTTACGTTTCATTTGATAGAAACGTTTACGTGAATGTCTTCTTTTGAAGTGAAACTTCTTTAGGCGCATGAGTCTCAAATATATTAAGTGCGCATGAGGGTAAAATTTTTACAGAACGTCACGCAGGTATGCTACGGAAGTGACATCAAACTACTATTGAAATAAAGTACTTGTCAAATGTCAGTAGTAGTAGTTGTTGTATTTTTCCAACTGGAAAGGCAAATGTATCATACCATACAGCCTAATATTTTATATTTTTTTTGTGAAAAATGTTAATAGGAATTGAAATGAAATGAAAAGAATTTGGAACATTAATCAAATAGCATGAAATTAAATTAGTCAATTCAATTGGCAAAATATTAGTCATTTATAATTTAGTCATAACATCATCATGGGTGATGGTGGTCACGACCCTCAGACATGAGGAACACGACTCGAGGAGGAGGAGTCATTTACAATTTAGAAATCTAAACATAATGTGACTGTCAACACTGAGGTTTGAGATTGACATTTGACAGACTTTTATCGGGAACATATCTTCCTTTTTCCCTTCCTCTAAGTCTCGGAAATCTAAAGTTTTAGATTTGTATAAATATAAGCAAGACTTATAAATTAGTTCGCCAAAAAAGTTTCACTTCTGACATGTACTTTGTACGCACGCACTTTTTTTTTCCTTCGTATTATTCTAGAATCCAAGAGATCTATGCCGTGAGGTAATGACCCGCTCGTATTTAAAGAGTGGGGCGACGTTACAATACATTTGAGGCTTTAAATTCTTGTCTCTAAGTGAGTTATGTGTTTTGATGTTTCTGATAACCACAAATTACATTAGGCCGTGAAATATTTATTAGTAAATATATACCTATATTTTAGTAATTGTCTTCGGTTTTACGCGACAATCAAATTACTTTTAGGTTTCAATCTCACGTATACTATTTTTATTTTATCATTAACATCCTTTCAAATATTTCGACATTATATAGAATATAATTTAAAAAAAAAGTAAAATAGTTTTAAAA